GGTTGTCCTTGGAGAGCCTGGAGGCAGGGCTGCGTGTTTAAATGCTGGGGAGGAGTAACAGAGACCAGGGCACCTGGGGCGGGAGCGTGGGGAACTCCAGCAGGCTCTGCTAAACGCTGGTGGTGTAACACTGCTTCATTGTCCCTGCAGCTTGCTTGCCTTAGATAAGGTCCATCACACACTAAAAGTAAACGCAAGTAGGATCCTTGACGTGTTTGAGAACTGCTTTCTTACCTGTTTCCGTTAGCCTTTAGAATATATTTATATTGAACAATAACAGTAAATAGCCAGCCAATTTTCATTTGTGCTTTTATACCCTGAAGCCCATTAAAAGATTAGACAACGAGGACGTCCTGGTTGTGACTGAAGGGAAAGCATGCTGTCAAAATGGGCTACTTCGGGGAAGTGACATTCCTTTGTGATATCTGAAAAGAAGTCAGGACTCAGGAGTTCACCTTTGCCGGGGCTGAAGTTCTGCCCTCCTCACTGTCAGGCCAATCAAGGATGTGTGTCTCCAGGACAGTGATTCTCAAGCTTCAGTGCACATCAGAACCACCTGGAGAGCTTGATAAAAAGCAGATTGTTGAGCCCCACTCTCAGGGGGAAACCTGGATTGAATTCCCAAGTGTTTTAATCAGAGTTCTCCAGAGAAACAGAACCAATAGGATTGATTGATTAATTGACCAATAGGAATTGGCTCACCCAATTATAGAGAATTAAATGAGTTAATATGTATAAAGAAAGCATTTACATAGTACTAGTCATAGGGCAATCAGAGTATGAGTATTCTTTGGGAGTAGTAGCATTTCATTGCCAGCACCAGCCGGACAAGTGAAAGACTATATATAAGTATTGAATGGATGCCAAGAGCCATGCTCTCTGGAGAGTGTAGCAGTTGTCCATATAGCAATCACACTTTCCTATGTAACTGACCTTGTGGAAGCCCAGTCTTTGGAGAGCTTCCTTTTCCCAAGGCATCAATTTCAACAACAGTTATTCTGACCTCTCACATGCCTGCCTGTTGCCGGCTCTGTGATATTACAGTAATACGGCTTTGACATGCTATATAAATACAGAATAAGAAAATGAGACAAAACCCTGAAATTCACCTTAGATGCCTAACAATTTTCAATTCTCACAGCTGAAGATTACTGAGACTTTAAGATATACATTTTTCTAACCAAGAAGAATTTTACATGTTTTCTTTTCATTAAAAACCCTACGTATACATTCTAGGTGACGACTTTTTGTTTTGCTTCATGAACAGCATCATAGAAATCACTCGAAAACTCAGAGCTTTACTCATGCTTTCTTGAAGAAGTGAGACATTGCCAAGGAATTCATAGCAGAGCATAGTGAGAGCTGTGGTTTGTTCTCTGCCATTTAAAAATATACCTGAACTCTTTAGC